CTAGTAATGATCAGAAAACATGATAAGAAACTGGAAAGAAGATAAAGTTAAAAAAAATCTAGATAAATATACAAAATTCCAGTGTTTCTATTGGTAACCACTTAGAAATAAACAGGTATCCCATTCACAGGGTGACCAAAACTACAAAATACCTAGGAATAAGTTTAATAAGGAACGTACAAAAATCTAAAAGTTACCAAAAATATTTTAAAGGACATGTGACATCTGAATAAAGAAATGTACATGTTCCTGAACTTCAACCAGTCCCAAATTAATATATTAAGCAATTTCTGTAATTCCATGGCTGCACAAAATGATTTTTAAATGTACATGAAAGAACTTGCAAGAATTACCAATAATTTAAAAAAATAATAGGGAAAGAGTCCTGTCCTCTCAGATATTAAAACTTGATATAAAGCTGGTATTATTAATTCAGTAATGCTACTAGCAAATAGGTTATCGAGAAAAATGATAAACAGGACTACTCAAATCAGTTGGGGGAAGATCTGACTATTTAGCTAAACTACAGTCTTTACTGGAAAAAAGTGAAGTTGGTTTCTCATGTCATATATACAGAAATTAATTCCATATGGATTAAAGACCTGATTTTAAAAGTAACTCTGTAAAATATTTTGAAAACAAGAGAAAACATCTGTATAACCTCATTAAGTGGAAGGCATTCTTACACAAAATAGACAATCAAAAGGCCAGAAAGAACAAAAAGGCAATCGGACGACAATTTTAAACACTTGTTTAGTGGAGATAAAAGCAAAGATAAATGATGTCATGAAAGAAAATATTTGCTATACACGTCCAGTATAAAGAACTTGTACAAACTGATAAGAAAATGTCAAATAATCCAAAAGAAAGTGAACAAAGGATAAACAGGGAATCTATATAACTAACCATAAATAGCCAAAAGAACTTCAATCTCAGCCACAATCAGGAGTTTATAAAACAATGAAATTGAAAATTGGCACATTTATTTGGCAACCAGAAAATGTAACTTCCATATAACGTGGGACACGGGCATTATCTCTATTTTTTAAAAACAAAGGCTGATAAGCCAATCCGTCACTCTTATGTCCCTACTCTTTCCAGTTTGAAATAGCTTAAAACAAGTGTTTGCATTAGCTGTTCAAACTCAAGTGACTGCAAAACAAAAATCAAGAATTATAACTACCACTATCACTAGAAATGCAAATTGAGATAAGGACTCTGAAAATTTAATCAGATTGACAAAAACTGAAAAGATACCATCCAATGCTGGCAAGGATGTGGAGAAACAGGTCATCTCACATCCTCTCGGTGAGACTGTGGGCTGCCAAAACTTCCTGGAAAGTAGTCTAGCACATATTTAGGATTCTGTTTAGAATTAAAAGCCCTGTTTATCAGCTATATCCCTGAGATCCATCCTTAAATTCCCTGAGCACTTCCTTCACTTTCATGTTCTAACTGAAGCTTGGCTTTTCCCTGAAAATACTCCCTCTGAAGCCCTCTCTCCCATTTTCTCTCTCATACCTGTGGGTATGGAAGTGAGAGAATGGTGCTCCTTGTTCATTTCCACTTTGGGGAATTCTTCCCTTCTCTTAAAGAGTCCACATCTTCATGTAGAGGAGATTAAGAGAATTCATATTAGCGATGATTTCCAGGATTAGAATCACACCCCTGGACTTTCTTTATTGTGTTCTGTCTTAAAAGTGTCCCATACTATTTCTACTGGCCCTACTCACTCACCTGTAATTGAAAACAAAATCAACACCTAAAGCCAGAGACGTAGTGTTAGGTGACAGGAAAGAGAACCAGACTTCTGGATTCTAAGCTCATCGCTAACCTTAGGTAAACTATCTCCTGATCCTAGTTTACTCACCAACACCAGAACCTACACCTTGCTTATTGGGAGGACTTAATGATACAACACATCTAGAGCACTTTGGATAAAGTAAATGTTCAATAAGTGTATGTGTGTGTGTTAGTCACTCAAGTCTGCCGTGTATGACTCTGACCCTATGGACTGCAGCCTGCCAGGGTGCTCTGTCCATGGTATTTTCCAGGCAAGGATACTGGAGTGGGTTGCCATTTCCTTCTCCAGGTGATCTTTCCAACTCAGGGATCAAACCTGGGTCTCCTGCATTGCAGACAGATTCTTTACCATCTGAGCCACCAGGGAAGCCTGATAAGTTTTTAAACAACATAAAAAGAAAAACACCTTCAAATCTCAAATTTCATACTCCTGTATACTCCTGTATAAGAAGAAAAGAACTCTTCCTCTCCTGGCCATGCATAGCTCCTTTAGTCCCTTCTCTTCGCCCATGTCACTCTTCTCCAGGTGTTCAAACAACAACCTAGAGGGAGTATACCGGGAAGTCTGCTACACTTGGAACTTTGGAAAAATCGACTTCAATACACATGACCTTCCCCATATTTGCATTAGCTCCTCTAAAAACCCATTATTTCCCATTTGAAGCAGCCTAAAACAAATACGGCATCAGTTATTCATATTCAACTAGATCCAAAATAAAGAGAAGTAAATAACTAGAAAAATCTTAAAAGACATAAGACGGACTCAGAACCTGCTATATATACCCTAAGGAGTTCCAATCAAATCACATGTCACAGAAACGGTGAAATAGAAGAAACCTGAGATTTCCAAAACATTTTGCTTTTTGCTAATTTCAATATACAAAATGAAGCAACATATTAAAAACTGACTCCTAGCAGTGTCGTCCTGTTCTGACCCCTGTGGAGAGTCCAAGCACATGCTCCATACTTTTAGTGAAGCAAGCTTGAAACCCAGTGTTATTTCACTCCAGAGTTAGAAAAAACCTTTGGTGGCTCCTCACGCCTACAAATGAAAGTTTAAACCACTGAACACTGCTCTGAAAGGCCTCCAAAATCTGGCTCTAATTTACCTTTCCAGTCTTATTTTCAACTTCCAATTCTCCAAATCCATCACAACAAATACATTCCACATTATTTCATAGCCATACCTCAGCTCTGAACATATTCCTGCCCACCTCCAGTTATTTCATTCCGAAGTGGCAAAGAACAGTGGAAGGAGTCCAACCTTTAAGTTCAGATCCAGACCCACTAGATTTCTAATTCTAATTCCATCCCCACTACTTAATAGCTTAATTATCTGGAGAAAATACTTCAATAGACCCATTTCCTTACCTAGGAGGCATACCTCCTGTGGCACCTTTACAAGGCTATTGTGAGAATTAAGCATAATGGTTATAAACTATCTAGCACCATGCCTGAGGCACAGGAGAAACTTAATGGTAACTGCTAAGCCATCTTCTTTACCCCTCCCACCTTCATCAGTACTACTATTCCCTAAATTTCCACAGCACTTGGTTTATACCACTATGTTTATTATACTTATGAGCACTAATATACTGAAAAATATCCATTATTTATGTATATATCTGGCTTCTCCATTAGCTTATAGGCAAGATGGCTATGGTTATGGATTTCTAAATCTCTGTCACTTACTACTTCAGCAAGTTACCTGACACCATAGAACATGTTTCTTCGTTAATAAACTGAATTGGGGTTAACACCTTACAGTGTTACGAAAAGGTTTAAAAGAGTTAATGTACATCAAATACCTGGTATAATGCTTGACACCTAGTAAATTTCAGAGTGTTAATGGTAATCCGGATAATGAACCTGGTCCAAGCAACTGCTTAGAGAACACACAAATGTAAAATGTACTTGCCTTATTAAATAAAGCAATCAACACAATTCTAACCTGCTACTCACCTCTCTTACTGATAGAAATATCCAGTGAAGACAAAAACAGAGGTTTCCATGCATTTTATCTCAGAAATGCTACCACGTATTCATGTTCTTCCAGGACTAGACTTAGTACTTCAAGACTTATGGTTCACATCACCTCATTACACTTTAAAACCATACGGGGGCTTATCCCTCAAGAGTTGTAAGGAATAAAATGATCTGCCAAAAGTTAAACAAAACTCTGGAATTAGTGGTCTACCAGGAAGTGGAAGCAAGTTGTCCGCTCTTTATTCATTCTAATTCTAATCTGCTGTGTCATTAATTTCTCTACTCAGACCTCCAATCAAATGTCAACTACTTCTGACAGTATTTTCCAATCTATATGCTTCCAACCCACTGCTTGATTTAAGAGAAAACACTTCAAAATTAACTGCAGTGAAATCAAGGAAACCACAGAAAAGCCAGAACTTACAAAAAGGAAAAAAAAAACAACAGTATTAGAGCACAGGCATTCCACTTTCAGTTGCACACTGCTACTTCCACGTGTTGCACAGGAAGAACCTCAAGAACTCAGGAAACGCTGAGGAAATTCAATGGACGTGGTTTTAAATCTGACACCATAGCCTCCAACTAATAAAAATAAATGGAAAAAAAAAAATAAAAAAAAATAAATCTGACACCATACCCTACTAGTTGTGTAAACTACGCTTGTTACTTCTTAAGCCTCATATCCCTCATCTTTAAAATAGAGATTGTAACCATATGAATCTCATAGGGCCATTGTATTAAATACAATTGTTGTATTAAACAATTAAACTGTTGTATAAAATACATTAGTATGCTAAGTGTTTTAGCAAAGTACTTACAACACCACACTCAATAAATGGTATTCTACCCATTTGGTGTTATCGCCTGAGCACTACAGTTCTTGGTAAACACCGCGGAATTAATGAATACTTAGCACAGTTTATATTAGGAAATAAGTGTACCACTAACTTTAATTCTACCCTAAGTTAAATAAGGATTAACAGTTGCAATACTGTTTGAGAGAGGTTTACTGTTTATGAAGTCCTTTAAACATCCATAAACTCACTGTGATCTCCACAACGTCCTTAGGGGGTAAACACTTAAGATATGTACTGTAGAAATAAACTGGTACCCACTAGGGTAACACAGACCCAAAGAAACCTAAGTTTCGTCCAACCGGATTCTCCAGCTCAGGGATAAGGTGCTTAGTGTCAAAAAAGTTTTTAACCTACACATCCACCAAAACGAGGCCGACTACAGCAAGTGTACCATCCATCCTCCTCAAGCAGAGTCAAGCCCGAGAGTCCAGGAATCAGCTCCAGGAAATAAACCCCGTCAGAAGGCACAGATGACATTTACAATGCTGCATTGTTTCAACACGAGGTGTCCTCCCACACCTTTAGGGTGGGGGCCCACCCTACCAAAGCGCCCAACACAGGACCTGGCACCTAAAAAGTCCTCAATAAATGTTTGTAGGAATGGCATGGGAAATTGGTGAAAGGCTCTAACAGAGACCCGAAACGAGGCCAACTCCACGGTGGGGATTAAGCATCTCAGCGGATCCAGAGTCGTGGGCGGAGAGGGTCCAACCGGTATCCTGGTTGGAAAGGATGGCTGAGGACGGGCACCGCTAAGGAGAACCTGGAGAGCTGACCCTCTGATGAGAGAGAGCGAGAGCAGGTCTGGCCGCAGCCATTCCTGGAAGGCCGGGGACAGACAGAGGTTCGGAGGCCGGGGGCACCTAGCAGGGCAGTTGGCGGCTTGGGGGGAGGGGGCCGTCTGTTGGTTTGAGAAGAATCTCGGGCCCAATCTGAGCAGGGTTCTGGGCTCCTCTAGGGACCCACTCCCTAGCCCGCGGCAACATTCGTTGCACCGAGTGCTCGCTGCTACCTGAAACTGCAGCAGCTTCTCTGTCTGCTCCTGGGTTAGATCCCGCTCCTCAGGCGCCGCCATTTTGCCGCCGCCTTTACGCTTCTGACCCGTCCGCACCGTCACCCGCCGGAAAGTGACCTCAGCAGCAACCACATCCGGTCTGAAAGGCCGCCGGCGCGCAACTGCGCCTGCGCGTGCCGGCCCAACCCGGGGCATGGGGAGGGGTGGAAATGGTGACAATTTCCGCCGCCAGAGGGCGCCTTCTAGTGGGACGACCCCGAACACTTCCGAAAATAGTCGAGGAACTGCGTGGGCATGGCGCCCTTGGGAGTTAGTCAAAGGCAGGATAGATCCTTGAAAGAAACGTTATGACCAACCTAGACAGCATATTAAAAAGCAAAATCAGAGACATTACTTTGCCGACAAACGTCCGTCTAGTCAGAGCTATGGTTTTTCCAGTAGTCGTGTAGGGATAGGAGAGTTGTGAGAGTGAAAAAGTAGAAGAGTAAAAAGAGAGTAAAAAGCTGAGTGCCGAAGAATTGATGCTTTTGAACTGCGGTGTTGGAGAAGACTCTTGAGAGTCCCTTGGACTGCAAGGAGATTCAACCAGTCCATCCTAAAGGAGATCAGTCCTGAATATTCACTGGAAGGACTGATGCTGAAGCTGAAACTCCAATACTCTGGCCCCCTAATGTGAAGAACTGACTCATTTGAAAAGACCCCTATGCTGGGCAAGTAATGCTCAAAATTCTCCAAGCCAGGGTTCAGCAATATATGAACCATGAACTTTCAGATGTTCAAACTGGTTTTAGAAAAGTCAGAGGAACCAGAGATCAAATTACCAACATCCGCTGGATCACTGAAAAAGCAAAAGAGTTCCAGAAAAACATCTATTTCTGTTTTATTGACTATGGCAAAGCCTTTGACTGTGTGGACCACAATAAACTGTGGAAAATTCTGAAAGTAGAGAATACCAGACCACCTGACCTGCCTGTTGATAAACCTGTATTCAGGTCAGGAAGCAACAGTTAGAACTGGACATGGAACAACAGACTGGTTCAAAATAGGAAAGGGAGTACGTCAAGGCTGTATATTGTCATCCTGCTCATTTAACTTATTTGCCAAGTACATTATGAGAAACGCTGGGCTGGAGGGAGCACAACCTGGAATCAAGATTGCCGGGAGAAATATCAATTACCTCAGATATGCAGATGACACCATCCTTATGGCAGAGAGTGAAGAGGAACTAAAAAGCCTCTTGATGAAAGTGAAAGAGGAGAGTGAAAAAGTTGGCTTAAAGCTCAACATTCAGAAAACTAAGATCATGGCATCCAGTCCCATCACTTCATGGGAAATAGATGGGGAAACAATGGAAACAGGTCAGACTTTATTTTTGGGGGGCTCCACAATCTCTGCAGATGGTGACGGCAGCCATGAAATTAAAAGACGCTTACTCCTTGGAAGGAAAGTTATGACCAACCTAGACAGCATATTAAAAAGCAAAATCAGAGACATTACTTTGCCAACAAAGGTTCATCTGGTCAAGGTTATGGTTTTTCCAGTGCTCATGTATGGATGTGAGAGTTGGACTGTGAAGAAAGCTGAGCGCCGAAAAATTGATGCTTTTGAACTGTGGTGTTGGAGAAGACACTTGAGAGTCCTTTGGACTGCAAGGAGATCCAACCAGTCCATCCTAAAGGAGATCAGTCCTGAGTGTTCATTGAAAGGACTGATGCTGAAGCTGAAAACTCCAATACTTTGGCCACCTCATGTGAAGAGTTGATTCATTGGAAAAGACCCTGATGCTGGGAGGGATTGAGGGCAGGAGGAGAAAGGGAAGACAGAGGATGAGATGGCTGGATGGCATCACCAACTTGATGGACATGAGTTTGGGTAAACTCTGGGAGTTGATGATGGACAGGGAGGCCTGGTATGCTGCGATTCATGGGGTCACAAAGAGTCGGACACGACTGAGCAACTGAACTGAACTGAACTGGATGCTGGGAAAGATTGGAGGCAGGAGGAGAAGGGGAAGACAGAGGATGAGATGGTTGGATGGCATCAGCGACTCAATGGACATGAGTTTGAGTAAACTCTGAGAGTTGGTGATGGACAGGGAGGCCTGGCATGCTGCAGTCCACGGGGTTGCAAAGAGTCAGACACGACTGAATGACTGAAATGAAGTGAACTGAAGTCAGGGTCTTCCAGACTTATGACTCTTGAATAGACTGTAGAGCCGAGAGGTTCCAAATGCTTCGGTAATTCCTGAATGCCACTCAACAGATTTTGCCTTCTCTTTAAGCATTTTCATTTCCAGTGTTTCTGAATGTTTCTTAAGAAATTGTGGCTGTTCAGAAATATCAGTCGTTTGATGTTTGATTCCTGCCATGATGTTTCCAAAAGCCCCTGACCATCTCTGGGAGGTTCCAAAAGTCCCCGAATACTGGGCTGGGGACGGTAGGCATTTCCCCTCACCGCCTTCACACCAGAAGCTGGAAGATTAGGGGCCCTTGAAAATTGTAGGGACCCAGCCACCTGGCCTCTGCCAGACTTAGGCAGAGCTCTCTATCCACTCCTCTTGGGACTCTGCCCCTGCCTGCCTCAGGCCTTCTCTGGTCTCTGCCCTCTGGCCCGTCTTCTCTGTGATCAACCAAAGGAAGACCCCTGGAAAGGGATCAAAGGACTTGGATTCAGGTTCCAGTGTCCAAGTGGCAAAGTACTGGACATCCTGTGCAAACCTCCTCCTCTCTGGTCTAGTTTTGACATTGAGGGAATGAGGTTCACCAGCAGCCCCAGATATGCTGCCTTATCTCACTCTCCTTGGAAGTGGTCCCTCACCCTTTCTACTACCTTATCTCCACCTCTCAATGTCTGCCTTCTTCTGTACTTTCCCCTTAGAACCCTCCACCTCACTTCAGATCTATTTTCATTTCCATTTCTTTTCTCCTGCCACCTGTTTTTTCTGTCCAATCTCCAGAAGACTTTGGGAGGCAGAGGGGTCAGTGTCTGGTGCCTGCTTTTCCATCAAGTGTCTGTCTAACTCCTAGCAAGGCACTCAGCCTCCTGGACCCCATTGTCTTCCCTATTTGTGGTATCTCACCCTTCCAACTTCACAGCATTGAAATTGCTGAGACAGAACCTGAAGGGCTTTTGAAAACTAAAGTTCTGTGAAGAGTATATTAAGGGATGGAAGGACTTAAGTTTTGGCTATTTCTTTCAGGCCTGAATCCCATCTTATAATAGATCTTGAGAAATGGAGTATTTCTTGCCATCTCAGTAAACAAGGATGCTACAGTCATCAGCGATTCCAGGGCAACCAGGAAGAACAACCTGTGATCCAGCAGCCACTTGCTAAGGTTAGAACTGAAGGAAAAAGGAAGAATACTGGCCCTAGATAGCTGAGGTGCATATGAAAGAAATGATTTCTGAAAACCCAGACTCCTTCATTTTTCTCATATATAGAAAATCACCAAATTCCTTAACTTGAGATATCTGGTTTTCTTTAATTCACAAAAATACCTTTGATGTTCAGACTTCCTGCCCTTTGATGCAAGCCTCCATACAACCTGACTCCTCCCCACACTCCTCGGAGCAGTTCTCTCAGGGTTACTTGAGATGCTGTCTCCTGGGCTTAAGTCCTAAAAATTTCTGCCGATAAAACATAACTCTCAACTTTTAAGTTGTGACTTTTTTTTAATCTGACAGTCTGCACAAACTTTATAATAGTGTCCTGGAGTTTTTCTTGGACCTTTAAGGTAAAATTGGAAGCAAGTAGCAGCCACTTGAGAGACTTTTTTTTTTACATCAATTCAAAGCTTAAAGGAGATGCAGTGCTATTCAGCATCTCCAATAATGATGGATCCAGAAGAACTAGTTGAGGGACTGCAATGTCAGTTGCCTTCTAGAGTTGTTGCATAATTCTGATTTAAGATGTATTCTTTCCATGAAGAAGGAATTCATAGGGCCTGGACTCCATCTCAGGCCTGTCCGTGCTGATCGTGCTAGGCCGCCTCTCCAATGGCCTCTGAACTCTGTGCTTAGCGCTTGTGGGAATGACAATGGAAGGATAAGACCCCCTCTGGGCAGGGGAATCTTGAAGATCACATCCAAGTTAAGAGAAAACAGACATTAATCACCCCTGCCTCTGGACAGTATCTATCAGAATGTAACCACAGGCTTATCAGTTATTAACTGGTTGGAATATAACCTCGGGCTTATTGATTATTAACTGTTTGAACATATAACACGTGAATGATGGGGTTGTTGTGATTGTATTTACCCTTTCTTTGTAAACCTCAAGGGATTTGGGCTGGTGGGTTTGGACACATACACATGGGGTATAAAAGATTTTCACAAATGCTGGTCGGGGTCCTTGGCTAAGAGGAGACTCTGCCTTGGGCCCGCCGGTGTAATAAACTGCACTCCACTATCTGCATTGTCCTTCTGAGTGAGTTTGTTTCCCAGAAAGCATGGCTATAACATCCACACACAAATTTTG